CTACTAGCTACTACTACTACTACTACTACTACTACTACTACTACTACTCTCTACCACTATCATACTATACTACTACTATACTACTACTACTACTACTACTACTACTACTACTGCTAATGTTACTACTGCTACTACTACTGCTACTACCACCACCACTACTACTACTACTACTACTACTGCTGCTACTACTACTACTACTACTACTACTACTACTACTACTACTACTACTACTACTACTACTACTACTACTACTACTACTACTGCTACTGCTACGGCTACTGCTATTACTCATACCACTACTACTGCACCAGTACTCGTCGTCGTCGTCGTTGTCCTTATCCTCCTCCTCTCCCTCTTGTGGTGGCACCACTCGGTGGGCACGGGGCCCCGTGAAGTGCTGTGACAAAGCCAGTTTGATAAAACGCGGTCGTGTGAGGTCAAACTGGTACTCAACGTGGTGCAATCTATGTGGTGTTAGTAGTAGTAGTAGTAGTAGTAGTAGTAGCAGTAGCAGTAGTAGTAGTAGTAGTAGTAGTAGTAGTAGTAGTAGTACTACTACTACTACTAGTAGTAGTAGTAGTAGTAGTAGTAGTAGTAGTCGTAGTACTAGTAATCGTAGTAGTAGTAGTAGTAGTAGTAGTAGTAGTAGTAGTAGTAGTAGTGGTAAAAGCAATAGTAGTAGTAGTAGTAGTAGTAGCAGCAGCAGTAGTAGTAGTAGTAGTAGTAGTTGGAGTAGTAGTAGTAGTAGTAGTAGTAGTAGTACTAGTATTAGTAGTAGTATTAGTAATAGTAGTAGTAGTAGTAGTAGTAGTAGTAGTAGTAGTAGTAGTAGTAGTAGTGGTAGTACTAGTAGTAGTAGTAGTAGTAGTAGTAGTAGTAACAACATTAGAAGTAGTAGCAAAAATCGTAATAATAATGGTTTGTATTTGGTAATAGCAGTAGTAGCAGTAGTACTAGCAGCGCGTTTGTATACCATTGCTGTACCACTCTGTCTGTAAGCCCTGACAGCATAACACTTTCCCTAAGCATTCCCAGACGCCATCGGCGCGAATCGCGACGCCACCCGCCTTCCCCCCCGGCAACGGCCGCTATCGCCGAAGAATTTTTATATATATATATATATATATAACTACTTGCACATGATGGCGACGAGCGCGTCCGAGACATTCGTTTCCTGGGCCCTATCCCTCCAAGACCAGCAATCGATGCGCTCTTTAATATTCGGCGCGCCCCACGGGGCCGCGGCCGAGAAACTTGCCCCTTCCCCAAGAGATGCCCTTCAGCTTGCATAGACAGCTCGAACACAACATCCAATACTTTTTTCGTAGCGCGAGCTCGCCCCCAAGCCCTGAACTCCAGCTGCCGACGGTGATCCCATACGCTCCAAAGACCAGGCATCGCACAAATACCCCTGTAGCTTGGACCTGGTTTGGGCCCTGGCTTGCAGGCTCTGACTTGGGTCGGGAAAGCGCAAACTTTTTCGATGGCTCAGAGAAGCCCGCGCACAAATTCCAGGCGCGCATCTTCCAGGGGGGCGCAGTGCCCAGGGCGGCACTCCAACTTTTCTGCTCGACCTCCAGCATGTCCAGCGGGCGGCCCGGCCAACAAGTTCTGGCGAGGCTCCAGATACGAGACGGTTGCCACAAAGTAAGACGGCTGCACCTCCGACTGGCCCACCCGACTCCTTTCCCCATAGCCCCCTTGACCCAAAGCTTCCAGGACCGTCGATCATCGGACCCATATTCCGCGACCCCACGGTCGGGGGCCTCGGCGGCCTTCGAGTCTAAGTCGCGGAAAACTGTCGCGATGAGCACAAACTCTGGCCCCGCGCGAGCGGCGCGCGCAAACTCTGACACTGGCACGCAAAGCTTGAAATCCAGCAACACTTTGTCAAATGGCTGGTGGATCAGCCAGGCCGAGGTGGGCCTGCCGAAGCTCCCCCAAATCGCGCCCCCCCACTCCTTGTCTTAGGTCGATGCCTTCGTTGCGCGGCCATCTGAAAGCTGCTGCGCCATTCCTGCGATTCCCCCTGTCCTCGGCTTCAACAGCCCTGGCTGGGATTCACCTAATAGTCGCGGCCTGGGCACGCCGCTTCGGACTCCGCAACGCTGCGTCGGCAATCATGACGCGGGTCGTGGACACGTCGCCCGCAAGATACTCGCGCGCGGCGTTCACGGTGGCAACTGAGGCTGGTGAAGGGACTGACTGGAAAGGCTTTCGGCGGCATCCCCGAAGACGGCACAGTTACCGCGACCCTTCAAGAGAGATGCCAGCAGCTCGAGAGCCCCCGAAGTCCTGCACCACGGATTGAATGTCACTTGGGCCCACTGGGGCCTGGACAGGAAGATGTCGAGGTTATCCCAGAACAGGGGTGAGATACGGGGCCCCAATCGACAAATCCATCAGAACTGGCCTATGCGGGCCACTCGGCTAGTCTACCAAAACTGTAGGCCGCTCCAGGTAGTGCTCGAAACAATAGAGCCCCAGGAAATAGTCCGTGGTATACCTACACTTCTTCGCATAATGAGCGCGTGCATTTTGGGCGCGATCACCTGCCATGATCAACGGCAAGGCATTGTCGGAGGCAACCTGCGCCGCGCTGGCAAAGGCTGTCAGGTTCTGCTCATTCAAGCCTACTGAGTCGGCCAGGTATATCGAACCTAGACAAAGGGCTGATGTCCTGGAATTTCGAAACTGACGACACAGGCCCGAAACTCCTGGCAAAATCCCCTGAAGAAATAATTTGGAAATCCCCAGGTATAAACCAATACGTGCCCGAACTCCAGCACCCTGGTATGGAAACCCCTCGGCGCTCAAAACAGCTGGAGTCAAAACTGCGAACCATCCCCTGTTAGCACACCTATCTGTTTCTTTGGCCAAATCATGAGCTAGTATTCACGCCTCCCGGCAGCAAACGACCTGGACGAACTTGGCCTCGAGAGAAACAAGAACTTGCGAAAGCCAGACCAGCTGAGACCATTGAAAATGCACATCGTGAGTGCGTTACCCACGCTGCGTCTCACTTGATGCTGCCGCTGCACCAGCATCGCCAGGTTTGCGAGCCCTGGCCCGGCGCTTGGAGAAAATCCCCACATGCTGGGCTTGCTGCAGACGCTGCAGGAGCCACCGGTGCACCGTCATCTGCGAGGTCTGGCTGCTGCTCGAGCTGTTGCTGCAACTGCTTCCACTCCTCGCTGTGCTTCGCGCTGACACTCTCGAGCTCCTGCTTGACGCTGAGCGGCCATCCATTCAAGAACCTGGCATGGACGAAATTGAATAATGTGGTTGGCTCAAATGATCCGTTGACACGAGCTGCCGCCTCTGCCACCGCAGCCTTGGCCGCCGCACTGTGATTCCCCTCCAGCTGCTGCACCTCAGACTGCAGTTCTGAATACGACTCCACAGTTTTGTCATACACCTCCACAGCCTTGTCAATGTTGATGCGACGGTTATCGATTTCGTCCATTTTGGGCTGCATACGTCTGCGCTGCCGTTGGAGCTTATCAGCAATGGACTGGCTCTCGGCGTCCAAACCCTTGCCCTCGAGTGCTCTCGACGTGGCATGCCGCCAGTCTTCGCAAGCCTGGATGTACTGCTTGCCACCCTGTCCGGCCACTTTTTGTTCCAGAAGTTGACCGCCGGATCAAGATGAAGACGTCATCATCGGCTGGGTCTGCGACCTCCTGCGAGGGAAACGACTTGGGACTATCCTTGGTGGACGGAGTCTCGCTGCCTCTGGTGCCGGCTGCGGGACCAACGGTTGCGCTTGTCCTGCTGCTGCTGTGAGCTTCCTACGCCATCGTATGCACCTGAATGATCAGCACTGGCACGTGAATGGCCTGGACGATCCTGCTTTAAAAGAAAAAACTAACACATGCTGAACAATGTCTGTGACCACCGTGTCCTTGCCAGGTCCATCCCCAGCAACCTGGCTTCTGACAGTACTGCTTCTTCCACTGCTTCTGAACTCCCATGGCGGCTAGGAGACTGGCTGGCCTTTTGCTGCGGCGGCCAGCGAGAAAAGAACGAGACTGAGAGTGATCGCAGAAAGCCTGGCCGAGGCAGCCAGGCCTGACGAAGGGGCTGTCCGTTCACCTCAGTTTCGGGCCGCTGTACTCGGGACGGAGTCAAGCTCCGTCTTGAGCCGAAACGGCTATTGCACGGGGGGAACAGGAAGGGGAGGAGCGGGAGGAAGGGGAGATGAGGAGGAGGAGGAGGAAGAGGAGGAGGAGGACCAGTGTGAACCTAAGGGTCATCAACGATTTTGACATAAACCCTCCGTCCAAGCTCCCTTTTCATAGGATCCTACAAGGGCTTATTGCCACTGGGGAAACTGCCTCGTTGGAACATAACCGCTTGAAGACCCTGAAGCATGCCAACACATTTCAACCTGACTGCTGCGTCTTGACGATCCTGAACCGTACCAGAACGCCATGAATGCGCGCGCCGCCAAGGCGAAAGCAACATTTTGAAAACCACCCGCCCTCAATCAGTGAAACTCTTCCAATTGTTTTGTAAAATGTGCGCAGCGCTAAAGCGAGAGCCACATGTTGAAAACCACCCACCCTCAATCTGTGAAACGGTTCCCAATGTTTAGTTTTCAGGGTCATAGATGGTGAGAAAGCCTCAGACGAAACGCCCAGCCCGCCCTTTCGACAAGCCTCGGGGTGCGACAGAGAGAAGTTTTTCACAAGGAAAAGGAGCGGAGGAGGAGGGGGAGGAGGAGGAGGAGGAGGAGGAGGAGGAGGAGGAGGAGGAGGAGGAGGAGGAGCAGGAGGAGGAGGAGGAGGAGGAGGAGGAGGAGGAGGAGGAGGAGGAGGGGGGCGGGCGCGGGCGGCGCGGAGGCGGCGCGGGGAGGGAGGCGGAGAGGAGCGGGCGGCGCGGCCCGCGCAGGGCACCGCGGGCGACGGCGGCAGGAAGGCGTGCCATCCTGGACAGCGACATGGCCTGCGGAGCCGCAGGGGCTGCAGGGAAGGAGCCGGGGGCGCGGCGGAGGGGGGGGGGGGGGGGGGGAACGCAAAGAGTGCCCTAAGCCCGCCGCCGCCGCCTCCGTCCCATCCGCCGCGGCTCCGCGGCGGACGGGGCGGAGGCGGAGGCGGAGGCGGAGGCGGAGGCGGAGGCGGAGGCAGAGGCGGAGGGGAGGAGGGGGGGGGGCGGGGAGGGGAGGGGAGGGGAGCAGGAAGAGCAGAGAGGAGCAGGAGGCGGGGGGACGGGAGGGACACTGCAGGCGGAAAAGGCGGAGGGAGAGGCGGGGGAGGGGCACTGGAGGCGGAGGAGAGGGCGGCGCGGGATTGAGAGAGGTCAGCGAGGAGGTGACGTCGAGCGAGCGTCCATCCGGCTCTACTGCGGCTGGAGCCGAGCCGCGCCCAGCTGAGCGGGACGAGAAGAGCGGTAGCCCTCGAGGGAAACATGTGAATGGCCTCGTGTCGCAGTCACTAAGTGGTTTTCCGTATCCCGCCATTCTGAAACACAGCCAGACCTGGGACAGAAGAACATCCTTCAGGAACACGAGACCCTCCACCAGCCAAACCAAAGAACACTCGAGGGCGCCCTACCAACAAGCACGAAGAACATGGGGGCACCCTCCCCGTACCGACCTCGATCCTATACCTCGGCCCGACCCATGCGTGTCCAGGTCACGCCGTTGATGTCGCCGTGCCTTCTGTGAGCATGCTCCCCCCTGGCTCGAGGGGAAGGCGGAGGGCGTGGAGGCGGGTCAGGAGTCGGGAGGAGCGACGAGGTGAGGCGAGCGCCGATGTCGCTCCGCGCGTGCGCCGGGAGCGCCTCCTAAGGCGGTCGGCGGCGGGGAACGAGGCAGGGGAGGGGGTGGGGGAAGCAGGAAGGGGTGAACGGTGCAAAGTCATGGAGCGCGGTAACTCGAAAAGGGGAAGAAGAAACAAAAAAAAGTCGGATTCAGGTCGGGCCCACGCCGGATTACGTCAGCATGCGGGATTCACGACCGATTCTCGTCGGATTTACGACGGATTTACGTCGTATCATCGCCGCGCGATGCTCGACCCATGTCTGAAAGAACGGACATGTGCACTAGCAGGCACAACTACTTCGCGCCAAGCGAGGCCTCCAGGATTTTTCTCATAGGTAGAAAGCAGCGTCGAAGGTGAACAGCGGAACAGGCAACGGCACAAACGGAAACTTTCGGAGGTCCGCGCGAACTTCTCGGATCGGCGCTGGACCCCCCTCCCTGGCGCACGGAGCCCGCCAGGGGCAGCGCTGGAGGCGCCGCCACGGGGGGGGCCCAGCGCCGACCCAAGAAATCCGCGCGGGCATCCGAGAAAGCATGTTTCTGCCCAGGTTGGCTCTTCGAAAGAACGTCTACCTACCATTAAGTCGGGCCCGTCCCCCTACAGGCCGATGTTCGAAAAGTTTAAAATCTTCCAAAAATATTCCAAAAACATTATATCTATATATATATATATAAAAACAAATAAATAAATAAATAAACACAAAGCAATACGTTCGACTATTCTTGAATATTCCTCCTGTGGAGGGACAGGCCCGACTTAAACCGACCCGACCACCCCAGCCCAACCCGAAGACCCAAGCTTCGGGTTGGGGGTGGGGTACGGGGCTCCACACGTGCCCCTGCAGTGCTCCCCGACACCCCCTCCCCCCCCCACACTGGGAGTGGAGGGCGAACCGGGGCCTTTGGCTTGGGGTGGGCTCCACCGCAAAACAAAGGCCCGAGGTCAGATTTTCGTTTTTTCGCAGTGGCTTTTCAGAATGACCTGATGCACTCCATTGGTTTTGCGTGTCCCCAGGCGCTTCAGGGCAATCCTGCCCTGCATCGGCCTATACGACCCTCTGGCCCTGCACCTGTGAACTTCCCCAGGGTGGGGTGGTTTGGCAGGTGGCGAAAGAGGGGGGGCAAAAAAGAGGAGCAACGGAGAGCCAGGCACGAGCAGGAGGGCCGCGGGGGGCAGAAGGCCAGCAGATGTGCGGTCCACGAGAAGGGTGCCGCCACGAATGGATGCCGCCACTGCGGAGTCGTGCTGCCTGTCGAGCTGTAACTGGACTTACGGTGCCACTGCTCCGGGGCATGAACGGTCAGAGAAGTGCCAAATACCCAGGAGGATCCTGCTCACCGGGAGGTCCGCGCGGACTTGGTGGCTCGGCGATGGGCACCCCTCCCCTAGCGCCGCAACAGGGGGGGGGGTCCAGCACCGACCCAAGAATTAGCGGACGGAGAACGGTATAACATGACCTTTACCACCGTCGGGGATGCTTGTTCCAGGGCGGCTGGAAAATCCGTACCCCTACGGTGGCACGACGATACTGTGAAAGAAACCCGCGCGGACATGCGAAAACAAATGTGCATGCCAGAACGCTACTGAGCCTGCGTGCCTGGGCTACTGCTTCCCCTCCAGCGACCCGCTGCGGCCCGCTCGAACTGAGGTAGGTAGGAGGTGGTGATAGGGGAAAAATGCTGGCCAAGCGGTGTGTATGCCGCCCTGGCTGGGCCAGGAGGACGCATCTCGAAGCAGAAGCACCGCGAGCAGAAACGACACCAGCCAGAGATCCGTCCCTTTGGCGACGAGGGCGGCGCAGGCCACCCGACCACCCGGCGGCCCGAGAAAACACGACGCACACGGCCCGACTCTCTCGACCCCGACATCATGCAGGCCTTGCCGCGCCAGGCTGGCCCGCGAGGACCTCCTCAGAGCGGCAGACGGCCACCAAGGTGGGCAGCGGGCCTCCTGCTCGCCCGCCCTGCTCAGCCGCCGTGCTTGTCTCCGCCACACCTGGGGATCAGGGACTGCTCGGCACGTGGCGCTGCCACGCCACGCGTGCGAGGCGGCTGCAGTGCCCCTCAGGCGCTCCCTCAAGCGCCGGCACCCTCCTTCCCGCGCCGAATCCGCCTCCAAATGCGATCCCGCCGCCGCCCCTGCCCCCACCCCCCCCCAAACGCCCAGAAGCGAAGGATAACCCACTCCACCCCCCCACGCGATCCGCCCCATCCCCCAGCGCTCGTCGGACCAGGGAGGGGGTGGCAGGTTCCCGGGAAGGCCCTGCTTTCCCAAGAGCGGTCGGAAGACGGCGCCAGGGGTGCACGAGGGCACGGGTCGAAGACACGGCATGGCAGAACGAGAGGCAGGGCAGGGCACGGGTCGAAGACACGAGGGCACGAGAGCACGGGTCGATGACACGCGCATTTCTTGGGGTCGGCGCTGCCGCGCCCCCCCCCCGCAAACACCTCCCCTTCCCTGACGGTCGCTGGGAGGGCGCGGCGGCGGCGCAACCTAGGGGTAGCGGTGGGTGTGGGGGGGGGGGGGCATCGCCGCCCCAACAAGTTTGCGCGGACCACCGAGAGCCTATGTCTCTGCCGTTTCTTGTTCTGCTGGGGCAGAAGCGCAAGTGCCTTCGCTGCTCTCCAAAACTCCCGCGAGATCAAAACTGCTGCCACGGCCGCGAGCAGAACGCGGAGCTAGGTCCCTGATCTTTCAAGAGCGATCGAAGGCGACGTAGGCCGAAGACAGGCAGGCGGGCGAGTACCTTCGCTGCTCCGCTTGGGGCCTGTGCACCTCCAAAATTCCCGCGAGAGCAAATGGCTGCGCCAGGTGTCCTCCCGCGGATCGGCACCTCCACACCCTTGTACACGTACAACGATATGAGTGCCACTCCTCTACCCTAACACTGCACGCGCGCGTTCATCCATCTTTCGGGTACTGATTTTCACATGCCGAACTTCACGATCAGATGGTTCCTGATGATATGGCTCGATCGGAATGTGTTGGGAATGGTTTTTCAGTTGCAGCGTTGGCCGCATGACAAGATCGGAGCTTTGCTCTCGTCGATCAACGCTCGCGCCCCAGCACGGGCCACAGCTTTAAAATCTGATTCGTTCGTCGCATTGCCGCCCCCCTGCTTTCCCCTCCGCCACCTCCATCCAAATCCTCATGCTCCTCCTCCTCCTCCTCTTCCTCCTCCTCTTCCTCCTCCTCCTCCTGCTCCTTCTCGTCCTCCTCCTCCTCCTCCCTCCCTCCTCCCCCTCTTCCCCTCCTCCTCTCCTCCTCCTCCTCCGCCTCCTCCTCCTCCTCCTCCTCCTCCTCCTCCTCCTCCTCCTCCTCCTCCTCCTCCTCCTCCTCCTCCTCCTCCTCCTCCTCCTCCTCCTCCTCCTCTTCCTCCTCGGCTGCACCATCCTTTGCCCCATAAGACTTCGGCGCACGTGGCGCTAAACCTGCGCATCATGTCCTGCATCTCTCCCAAGGTGCGACCGCACCACAGGCGGAGAACGTCCAGGCGCCATGGCTGGCATTGGGCAGGCACAGGACTCGGGGGAGCAGTGCGGCTGCCATGTTTGCTCTCCAGACTCTGGCACCTGGGATGCGCTCGACTTGGGCAACCGCACACGAGGAGGAGGAGGATGAGGAGGAGGAGGAGGAGTTGGAGAAGGAGGAGGAGGAGGACCTTTTGGACTCCTTGATAAAGGACTCTGTCCACCTGGAAGCACCTACACGGTCCTGGTAAGGGCCCTCGTCTCCGTTGACGGAAGCCCCTCCTGGTCCTGGCTAAGCCGGGAGAGCCGCGAGCCCACCCTCCGCACTCTCCCGGGCCCCAGAGGCTCAGCTTCCTGGCCAAGATCGGACCCTGAGTTTTGCTTCGGGCGCTGCAGCTCGAAGACAGCGCGACACTGGGCCTCATCTCGAGCATGGATACGAGCATGACTAGCCTCTCGGATGGCTTTCGGGGGGCCCTCACGACGAGGAAACAAATCTCTACTGATCCTCGAGAGGTTCTCCGAACCCTTGGGGGATCTACCCGCACATTCAGATCGGAGGTTGGGGGGTGAGATCGCAGTGAAACGGAGACCCCCAACCGGGAAATCGGTTTCGGTTTCGTGTTCGTGTCGTGCGTGCGGGCGACGCTAAGCTGCGCGTGATCCTCCTGTAGCTAGGCCGAAGTAGGAGCGAAAGTCCGTTTCCCGTCCG